TTATAGTAACGTGTCTCTCATCTCGCCATGGGAGACTACCCTGCCAAGTGTCTAGGAACCTCCATTCTTCTATCTCCTGCCGGAGATTTCCTGTCACTGGCACCATGCCTCCTAACTTCTGGGCCTTACTAATAGCCATGTACGCTTCTCTTGTAAACAGCATAGCGGCTGGTACTACTAAGGTGAGTGTTGCACACTTTCCCGCCCATTTCTGAAGCGTTTTCACCGTAATGCTCTCCTGGGACAGTATGTGTTCCCTGAATACTATAAAGACCTCCTTCTTATCTAGTGGTAACACAAATGCCATCAAGATAGAGTCACATCCCATACCCAAGTGGATGATATATCGTTTAGGTATCAGTTGGGATTTCTTAAGGCCGAGGAAATACCCTAATTGTACTAGTATGTAACATACAATGTAAATGGCCGCGTTGGCTGCGTTCATGCGGTCTTCTACTGTAGACTTATCCTTGATCCATCTTAACAACTCTGTTATAAATCTATCATCAATATATTGCATGACCGGAACGCCTAAGTTGCGAATATATGCGGTCGCTACCATACCAGTTGTTTGATAGATAAAACCACTCCCCTTGAATCCAAATGGTATCGTCCGACATACATAGTACAGCTGTCCCCATTGAAAGCCTAACAATGTCTGACTGTCATCTGTCACCAATATATGGTCATAGCCACTCTTATCATCTGAAGATGTCATGAATGTGCCTTTTGTCACAAGTCGCGGAATGTCTCTTAACGTGTCCAGAGTAAACGGACAATCTTTAATCCAACAGTTTAGATACCTCTGGTCACAACATAATCTTGGCTTTGTCGGTTCGACTGTTAAAGGCATGACAGATATGGTGGCTGACATTGCCCTATTTTTCCCCACACTCTTATTAGCCCCCGTGCGTACTCTAGCCGTTATCTCTTTGTTGATGAAAGCTTCAAAGTTCCTACAGATGCTATTGTTCCCAAATTGTGCGCTAGGTGGAAACGAGCAGTTATAGTGTTGCCCTTTAAACTCTCCTTTAAAAGGGGTTATGAAATCCTTAACGTTAACTTTATTCTTTATCCAATCTAAAACTGTTTGGTGAGTAGGGTGGTCTGTAGCGATTTTCTCCCATAGTGCATACTGGTTATGTATTTCTCCTGCCACAAAACTGTCTGGGTCCCTGAATCTAATGAGATTTGCTGCCACTTGTATGGGGTTGTCTGATGTTGCCACAAACTCCGCTGATGGTAACGGCCCCGTGGTACTGGTGGGCCTTCCCTCTGAGTCTACCCACCGTATCTCGTTTAGTTTCAGGCTGTCTTGGTTCTCCGCATAAGAAGCCAGCTAAAAGGTGAACAAAACGCGAGTCAGGAGTGCAGAAGTCAGAGGGAGACGCCACCAGTACCCCGGGGTCCACTGGCTCAGAATGACCAGGGTAGCCCAGAGTACCGGCATGCATCCCGAAATAGTGCTGAGTTTAAGAGTGGTGTGCGCTGTAGAGTATTTTACCTGAACAAGTATCAATATTATATGATTAAGCAAATTCATAGAGCTTCGAACTGTTTGTGCCCATAGCCTTGTTTCATTTCTTCCGAAAGATAAGTCTATATTACTACCCTTTGAACTATATCGCGACCTATTATTCATTCCCTATGTTATTTAAAGGCCCTTCACAAGAATAAATGCGGGAGGAGGGCTCATGTTCTTGTATTTTGGTATCGGCTTCCTTTGCAATTTTGTTATAATATTCAAAAGAACAAAGTTATCATTTTATCCTCCTTCCCCGGATGATAACCAACGGCTGCAACAGTCCTTCCTACACTACACCATTAGACTCAATAGCCTACCTTGACCTACCCTGGACTTTGCATAGCCTGATCTAGCACCTTTATACGTATATGTTGTAACTAATTTTATATGTGTCTTTTGTATATATGTTAGTTAGATGTATTATTTTAATGTGAGCCCTATTTCAAATATTGTGACAAATTGTACCTAATCCAGGGGTATGCGCTTCTGCTCCCCTTGCTGTTATACATTTATAAAATGATGAGCAATAAATAGGTATTTCAAACATTTCTTTATCGTCATTGTTACTAGACTATTTAAAACCGTAGGGGTGATATTGCTTTAGCCCCTTTACTTTAATAATTGGAGAACTAGATAACTTATTGCTGCTTGGTTTATCTACTGTCAATAATTATGGGCGAAATTGTTATATATTGCTTATACCAGGCGTTCGTTCCATTTTCATACCTTTTGTATTATACCATATCTTTATTTAGCTAAAATGGCAGAATAAATTCACTGTTACTTGTAGCCTAGTTTACCATCTACACCGCATGCATAGTGATGCAGCAGAACACTATCACACATGTAATAGACACACAAGCTATGGATGCTCAATGTCAATTTATTATTCCACATTACCGGTCCAAATCATCAGTAGAGTCGGCGACCAAACGTGTATTAGCGCCAACAATTATTCAAATGTAACATGTATTTCAATTTTCATTACTGGTCTAAAACATCAATGGAGACTGGAATCCAAGACTACACGTCTATCAGAGACACAAAATTATTCAGATGTAACATGTATTTCACTTTTCATTACTGGTCTAAAACATCAGTGGAGACTGGAATCCAAGACTACCCGTCTATCAGAGACACAAAGTTATTCAAATGTAACATGTATTTCAATTTCATTGCCAGTCCAAATCATCAGTCTACACGTCTATTATAGACACCACAGTTAGTTAAATGTAACATGTATTTCGATTTTCCATTACTGGTCTAAGTTATCAGTGGAGACTGGAGTTGAAGACTACACGTCTATTAAACACAGAAATTATTCAGATGTAACATATTTCAATTTCATTACCGGTCTATAACATCAGTGGAGACTGGAGTTCAAGACTACACGTCTATTAAACACAAAAGTTATTCAGATGTAACATGTATTAGAACTTTCATTACCGGTCCAAATCATCAGTGGAGTTCACGACTGCACATCTATTAGAGACAACAATTAATTAAATGTAACATGTATTTCAATTTTCATTACCGGTCCAACCGTCCAAATCATCAGTGGAGTCCCAGACTACACGTCTATAGGAGACGTCCTCGTCCTCGTCCCCTGAAACCACTGCGCATTTTTCCTCTAAACATTGGACAGTAATTCCGTGAGTGGCCCCATTGCTTACAGTGGAAACATGTACCGTAGAAAACTGGCGGTTGCTGGGCAGTGTACCACGGTGGCGGGGCTGGAACCTGGGGCTGTTGTGCTGGGATGAACTGAGGTGGCTGCCCAGAGAACTGGGGTTGTACAGGGAACTGGGGCTGCACAGGGAACTGGGGCTGCCCCGGGAACTGTGGCACAAACTGCTTGTTAGTGTTACCTCCTTGTTGCACGACCTTCGCGAATTTAGCTCCTATTTTCTCATCAATGTCTGATCCTAGGGCCCGGAGGACCATCTCCCCTAGCATCAGATTCCCCGCATGTAGTGTGGCGTGACGTAGTGTGGCAGCATACTTGGGGAGGTCCTCGTGCCCCGACGCCCGTGCCTTCTCTTCCAACCTCTGGAGTGCTGGGATCAGTAAAGCTGTGTTCAACTGTGGACGGCGCCTTTGCCAGGTCGAGGACCTGGTGTAGTGCATCCCGCACCTCGTCCGCCTGGTGGGCTTTCTCTAGCTGCTCTACCCTCCTCAGCAGCAACTCCGGATTATTCTACAAAAGAAAACACCTTCCGTTATTTTCCGTACCGGATAGATACCGTATGTCAGTTGCATCAGGCTTGACCTTTGCCCTATTTATTTGGGTTTGTAGGCCTTTCCACGTACCAGTGAACCAATTCGTCTCTAGGGTGGGAATTTAAGACAACCTATCAGAAACTTCCATCCACACTGTTCCTTATATAATCATATCTGCGCTAACCAGAATGTTACCCTGGCAGACAACAAAATTAGCCACTAACCTGTCCAAATATAGCCCAAATGGACAAATTCCGTCCTTCCTTATGTTCGGTGATTGACATGCTACGGGCGACACAAAAGACTATAAACAACACGGGCTCATTAGCATATGCTCATTAACATACCAACTCTAGTGGCGCAGTTATATCAAGACGCCACCTGGCGATCCATTGTTAGAGTACATTCCGCACTGCATCATGTGCTTCCGACCAAACAATGGTGCACCACTGACCGAGCTACCGGGCAAATCGTACCGCCCATATTCCGCTCTCCGCATCAATTTTGAAAATAATACAACTAAAATTTTAATGCATAACCTTTCTTCTACAGCGGGCAAAACTATTCCGCCCATTCCGCGTTCCCAGTAAGGTAACGCACAAGTGATAAAACGTTAACTGACGGTGAACCTTCCATCCTTATACCGGGGCACTCATTTCCGTCCCCTCCCGGCTGCATTGAGCAGCCCTACCAATTAAAGGAAATAAAATTACCGGACAACATTCCGTTCACCTGCCTTTTGTTTCTACTCCAATCGAATACCACCGTTTTCGAGCATATGCATATACATATACATAATGCAGATTCAATTCCCTACTACAATTACCGGCGAGACTTCTTTAAACTTCACATAGCATACTTCTACACATTCCTATATTAGATATACTACTAAAAGAGCAGATTAATAGCCCACCTGGTTCTGATCAACTCGCGCCCCATTGTCTGGTGCTGGCTGTCCGGCAGCGGCC